GTTAGTGGTCTAGCGTGAAATAATGATAGATTATGTAGAGTTGTTCAAATTTCAAGTCAAAGAAAGCAGTTACATATTTTTTTGGTTTTAAGGATGAAGATAGTACGAGTTTGACCGGTATGAGGATGAATTGACCTTTTGTTTACTTGATGTTGCACTTGAATTTGAAGAGTACAAATAGGTACAAATAGTAATTTCCGGAATCGAAATTCTATGAACTGCTTTTGAAGTTATTGGTCATCATCACATACCAAAAAAAGTCCATTATTTATCTACACACTGAGAAGACTGGCACGCTGTGATGGCTTAATAGTAGCCATTACTCCAAGAATTTTGGTTATTTTTCGTGTCCATAAAGTAGTTTATTGCTTTGTATGCGAATAAGTTCTTTGGATGCTCCGAAAAGAATTTTAAATTCGGTACAATGGGTAGTCAGTTTGTGTTCATTAATACTTTTGATATAGCGGAGGTGTGCATCTTTCTTCCTTAAGTGGTAGCTTTGTATTTGCTGATGCTGGTAAAGAATTAGGAAGGAGTGCTAAAAATTGTGACGCTGTGTGAGCAAGTAAGCAAGTTTCGATGTTATGCTTGTAATATAAGCTTTATACTGTAAAGATAGTTCATGTCATTTTACCCGAAAATTTCTTACTGGATCTTTCAGTCAATTATCATTATGGATTCTGGAGGCATTCACGTGAGAAGCCCATATTTTTGCTTTTATTAATATTTTTGTTTCGTTTTATAATTCCCGTAAACATTTGTTCCAAATGTTATCTTCCATGTTTTTCTTTTTTTTTTCTTTTTTTGCTAATAAATCTTTTGTTTGCTTACATTGTTGGGCATATCTGTGACATAAATAGTTGGGCCGCTTGGTTACAGTGATAAAAGTTGATTTTACTGTTTCTTTGGTTTGCTGAAAAAAGTAGTAAATTGTAGGGTTTGGAACAGTTTAATTGGTTTGGGACGATTTGGTTTTTCTGGTTAAGAATGCGCTAAGTTTCTGGAGGGTTTGACTGATGTGTTGTTAGGTTTAAGGCGTCGTACTTTGTTTCTGTAGAGCCAAAAAAAGCAAGTTTAGTGTGATGAGTGGTTTTAGAGGTGAAGTTGCTAAGCGGACGGTTTTCAAAACATTTTGTTGTCGGGGTGGGTAGTTGCAGTTGGACAGTGCAAGTTTGGGTCTTGGACTGATTTTTTAAGATTTTGGGTCTTTAGTTTAAGTTGATTCGAAGAATGTTGGGGCCGTGAGACATGTGGTGGGGGGTATTGGGGGACGAGGCTGCCACCGTTCTTGTTAGGTAACTTTTTCGAGTGGTCACTGCAGGGTATTGTCAGTGGTGTACAATGCGTAATTCATGCTGATCAGATCGAGGGTCGGTTCGAGGTATATGTTTTATTCCTTGTTTCCTGGGAGTCTGCAGTTGGTGGTCAGTTTTTTGGCAGGTTCTCGAGATACTGGTAGCTGGGTCTCGCATCAGATAGTTCGAGGCGAGGCTCTCCGTGTGGGTCTTGTTGACAGCTACTGCGTATCGGTTCCAAGCAGTGCCTGCAGTTTCGACTATGCCTGAATTATAACTATATAGAGCATCTAGAGAAGGTCTTCTTCGCGGAGAAATCGTCTAAATTTGTGCTCCTCGTTCCTCCGCCCTTCAGAAGGGTGGAGTTCTGCTTTAAAGGACGTATAACAAGAGATCGGATAGTTTGGAATCGGCATATCTTTTTTTTTTCCTTGAAAATGGACAAATGTTGGGGTACTTTTTTGCTGTGTTAAGCAGTTAGAGAAAGGAGATGACATATTTAGGTCCAAGACTTTGTTATAAACTGATATTCAGCTGGTATGATACGTTGTTGGTCACTCTTACTAAAACGTGGGCTTTTGATGCGCACTCATATTGGAACACAATGATTGGCTGAATTTTGACTAATAATTATAGAGTAAGCTAACATTGCTCAGCTTCATTGTGGTTCTTTACGTTTTCTTACTTTTATTTCACTAAATATCTGTTTATTGATGTTAGGATGATAAAACCACTTCAAAATGTTGCCGCATTTCTTGGTGTTGTTAACAGTTTCTTATTTCTTGTTTATCCAGTGTACAGGTTTTGCGTAAGTAATGTCTATTGAAGCTTCTGAAAACAGTAAAGAATGTGACGCTGGGATGAGGTTTGAAATATTGGCACGTTCGGGGTTTGCGAGGGCTGGAGTTTTGAGGTGAGGAGAATACGAATAGTTAATGTTTAATGCAAGTTGTTCCAAGCAAATATTTTCTTAGTGAAAGCTTCTTTTATATCAGAGATAGTTTGGTAATGATGAGTCATCAAAGGTAGCGGTATTATAGGTTTGTTCGTTTAGTTTTTCTTTCAAATGAGTTAAGTGTAGTTATTGCTAAAGTCTTACTACTTTTGTAGCGATTATTTCATCATTTCTTCTGGGATACGAAGGATTAATATTTGACTTTTGCTTTATTTTTGGCAAAAAATGAGTTGCTCGAAATCTTAGTGCTGGGATATTTAAAAGATGTACAAGTTTAGTTTACCTCATGGTGTTGTCGAAACTCCTGTTTTCATGCCAGTTGGTACACAAGGTACAATGAAAGGTATTCTGCCGGAGCAGTTAGTTGAAATGGACTGCAGAATATTACTGTGTAATACGTATCACCTGGGTCATCGTCCAGGACATAATTTAGTTCGTAAAGCTGGGGGATTACATGTGATGATGAATTGGCCCTGGGCAATACTTACCGATTCTGGAGGGTTTCAGGTAAATTTAAACCACTAGTAACAGAAAATTTGATCATTTCGCTCTTTTATCACTAGTATTTTTTTTTTTAATTTCTGTGACACCGAATTTAGATGGTATCTTTAAGTAAGCTGATGACAGTAGATGAAGAAGGAGTTGTTTTTGAAAGTCCGCACACTGGTCAGATTACTCATATGACGCCGGAACACAGTATAAAAATCCAGGTTTTTCATTAACTCTCTATTTTAAAATATAAGACTCATGCAAAGATATCTGTTTTGAAAGCTGTTATTCGAATAAATTGGGCAAGTTCGTTATTTTTTAAATATATCAGTTGTCGTAGAGAATCTGTTGGTGACTGAATTGAATTTATCATGTGTGTAATTACAGCATTTAGTGTTTGTAGCTCATGAATGAAGTACTTTTATTCTTTTATTTTGACACCGTTGTTATCAACGGGTTTAGGTAAACTCAGTCAGAATCACCCCAAAAACTGTAGCCGCCGTTTAAGTCATTGCCGACAAAGGAGTCTCACCTATTAGTTCTCCTTTAGACAGTTTACTGCACGATAGTGGAATCACCTGAAGTTTTGCTTCTCACATTTTGCACGAAGAAAGTTAGTTAGCCTGAAAATGAGGTTTAGGAGGATCTTGGAGCAGACATAATCATGCAACTGGATCATGTTGTGCACGTTTTAACTGAAGGCTCTATTGTTGGAGAAGCAATGCGTCGTTCTGTAAGGTTGTTGCTTTCGGTCGTTTCCGTTAGCTGTCTTCTTTTGACTTATGATTTTAAACAGGTGTTTCTTTATAGTTTCACATATTCTAATATTTATTAGCTACATTGTTGCATTGATTTATTGTTGCTCATTGTATTCGTGATTTACTCCTTCAACAAACTTTCTCATCTCTTTGCTTTTTTATGCCAAGTTAAGACAAGTAGATTTAAGATGGTTGGATCGCTGTCGAGCTGCGCACACACGAACAAATCAAGCCTTATTTCCAATCATACAAGGAGGACTTCAATCCGATTTACGTACTGAATGTGCTGAAGAAATGTCTTCAAGGGCTAAAGTTGGGATAGCAATTGGAGGGTTGAGTGGAGGCAAATGTTTTGATTGTTTGCGACTCTTGCTTTGGGAATATAATTTGAGCAGTTTTGTTGGAGCATGCTAATGCAGTAGGGCGGTGTAATAGCATTTGATGAGGTGTATTGATGTGGACCAATTTCAGGAGAAGAAAAGAATGCATTTTGGAAGATAGTAGCCTTATGCTGTCAGAAGGTCCCCGAATGTCTACCAAGATACGTCATGGGTGTCGGCTTCGCTGTTGATCTTGTCATTTGTTCCCTTCTCGGTGCAGATATGTTTGATTGTGTGTATCCAACACGTACGGCACGGTAGAAATTCTAGTTTTTTAGGTGATTTGTCGACTTTCGTTGTTAAATAATTTAGTTTTAGGTTTGGTAGTGCCTTAGTTCGACGAGGTCGTTTAATGCACCTTTCACGGAGGGAATATGCTTATGATTTCAGGCCCATCGATGAAAAATGCGGGTGTTATACATGCAAGCACCATACTCGTAGTTACCTTCATGCAATTGTTAACCAGGTATAGTCTTCACTCATAATTGCGTTTGTCTTGTCAGAATGCTGCTACCCATATAAACTTATTGCACCATGGTTAGTGTTTCTTGGAATAATGGTTCAAATTTTGGTTATTGATGCAGAGTTTCTTTCAGGAGACAGTGGCTTGCCATTTGATAAGTGTTCACAATATTCAACATCAACTTAGTTTGATGCGAGAGGTTAGAGAGGCCATCAAAAACAATTCTGTAGAACAATTTTTAAAGGAGTTTCTTGCTGAGCAGTTCGTTAATGAAGAAATACCTCAGTGGGTTCGTGATGCAGTACACTATATGGGTTATAAATTATAAAAATCACTATTGAATGTTGAGGAGAGATTGTTTTGTTGCATAGTGAAACTCTTCTGCTCTCTGAAGTTTTAATTTGAAACGTCTTGCGTTTTTGATGATTTTTTGGGTTTGGCTGGGACAAATAAAGACAATCAGCTGTTGTATGTTAACCACTTGCTTGCTGCTTGTTTCCAAAGTGTTTTTTGTATTTTTAATTCTTATACTAATTAGAAACTACCATTGTGGGACAACTAACTTGATCGTTTGTATAATAGTTTTGCTTGAAAGTGTACAAACTACATACCTTGGTTTTTTACTATTCATAGCCAAGATTATAAAGAAAATGTTTTCTCATTTTATGTTTATTTATATGTTTTTTCTTTGGAAAAATGACAAGGACAAAGGGACAAGTGTTTTCTCACAAATTTCTACCCACTTTTCCTGACTGCTTAAATTACTCTTAGAGTGATTTTGCTTACTTCGTTGTTGGCGGTTCCGTGCGACAATTAGGTATTGTTACTTAAGATCTGTTTAATAAGAGTTGTTACTTAAAAGTTGCATTTATTGATTAAGTACAAGGAAAATCTCAGTGTAATGGTTTCTTTACAACGAGTTTTTCTTTTAGCTAAGAAGAGTTTTTTTAACAAGTCATTTCCCTGCTAATTTTTCACCGAGACGTTTTTTTAGAATGTCGGTTGTGTTAACTAAATGTATAAATAACATTTGTTCAGGATATGGAGAGTATGCTTTCGTTATGAGATCACAGCGTTTGGGGGACTGAGAGTATCATTTACTCGTTTTTTCGCCTGTCGAGTCACTCAAATTGCTCTACAATTTGTGACAAGTGGTCGTCCTAAAAAAAATGGCTATTAAATTTAGAGTTTAATTTCTGGGGCTAGTTTAACAAACACTTTGTTGAAAACAAAGCGAAGGATTTTGTTGGAATTCAACGTGCTGTAGCCGGTAAAAGCTGCCAGAAAAATGAGCCTAACCGTATTCATTCTCGGTTGTTTGCAAAACTTTGTGGTTTACCTCGGGGACATACTCAACATCGTTAGGATATAGACGATCTGGTTTTAGTGCAAAGTTGAGTATCCGTGCTGATGTTCTGTTGGTGTTGGTAACGTCAACTGTTGCCGAAGCAGGTTCATATCCGGAAGCGCTGACCAGCACTTGATATTTGCCTGGCGTAAGTAACCGGAAGTAATCTCCAGTAATCCCTAAAGTGTTGTAGTTTTATTTAAAACCAGAAACTTTTGTATATCCCACAATATTAAATAGTTTATAGCCGTCTTAGGAGCAAATGGGAACATCATTAGTGCAGTATTGAAGTTTTTTAGCTGAGTAGCAAAAGTCGGATAATATTTAGATTAAGACTAACATGTTGTTACTGGATGCTTAATGGGTGATGTATCGGTACTGTTCTGTACCCAAACAACTGCTTCTGGAATTGGTTCACCTGTTTCAGCATCTGTTACGAGACCTTTAATGCCTGAATGTACCTGGAATACATTGGAACTTAATATCTAATTGACTGACTTATTACTTCCAACTTTTTCTGAGGGATTGTCCTGATCGACAGAAATATTCTGGTTACGGAGATTGCAAATAGAAATTGTTTTAGTTGTAGAACGAATTTTTTTACAAGGAAAATTGCTTTTAATATGAAATTTTGGAGGTTTTTGTGGGTTTTTCAAATGTTGAATTTGTACAGTGGGAAAAATTTCCAGTCATAGCTAAAGTTAATAGGGATCTTTAGGCTATAAGATGACAGTAGCAAATTAAGGCTTAGGTAAGCAAACAGTAATCTGCGGTGCTGATTTATTTTAAGTGCAGCTTAACTTATATATAAGGCTTAACATTTATAAGATGAACTTATAGCAATAGTGAAAAACTTTAAAGAGCAAGAATATAAATTTTTTGGCTACTTAAATGTACATGTTATAAATTTGTAATTCAGTTCTTACCTTCCATATGAACTCAATCAAAGCCTTTTTGTTGTCCTCCCAAAATTGCGGTAATCGTTTGCCACTTGGAAATTTGTCACACGCCAATTCCAGTGTTATTTCAAATGCATTTGATGCAAGGTAGCTAAAATCTTGCATACCACCAGCTACTGAATACCATTTTGCGCCATTAGTTATGCCACCTGTAAGCCAGGAAAAGCTCTATGAGGTTTGTGAATGATTTGAAGCTTGAGATTTTTATTGTGGAAACAAGTAAATCGGTATTTCTTAATTGCTGTTTGGTACCGTATTGAAGGTGTATAGTGGTCACTGTTTGATAATAAAAAAAATTAATTCTAATTAAAAACCGCTTAAACTAACCTTGGTTAGCGAATGCATCATATGGTGATGCATCACAGGGAGGATGATCATTTTTGGCCATATGAGCATGATTTTTTGCATACGTTTCGGCAAGAAATCTGCAACAAACTTGTGGATGATAATAAGTTTGTATAACAGTTATTACAGCTGTTCAGTTTTCTAATCAGCCCAAATTTTTATTTTTTCAAAATTGCTTAAGATTTTTTGTCTTATTTTTTGTTGGCAAATTATGTAATATGCCTGTTGTCGTATTTTTTGTTTTGAATATTATTTTGTTTAGTTAACGTAATCTATTACCAGTTGTCGTCATAAGCTGTGAAAAGAATCAAAATGAAAACAGGGAGACAGGCAGAGGTCCAAAGTATGAACAAGTAATTGCTGGCTAGTTGTGGAATTAGTTTACTGATGTTTCATATGTAAATAATTTAATCCATGGCAAGAAAAGAAAAGGAAGACGATTGACTTTTGCTTTGCATAAAAAACGATAGCAAAGAAGCACCAAAGTTGCTGTTTGAAAGGTCAGTATAGAAGCATTATACATGTTAAATTGATTTTTTAAATAGACTTTTCAAAAAGAACAGAAGGAAAAATGCAGGAGAAAACTTTAGCTAGGCATACTATTTTGTTTTATAGGATTGAGAACTGCAAAGTACCTGTTAAATCATCTGTTTACCTCCAGCCTTAAACTTCATCTCCTTCCTCCACCGTTCTTCTTCGTTATATTTGCTTTTTTAACCATGCCTTTTTTTCTTTATCACCATTTATGCTTTTATTTTGTTTTATTTTTTTGAAAATCTACTTGTAATATAAAACGAATTAAAAAGTTAAGTGTTTTGTTTGCCTATGGGCAGAGGATAAAATACAATTGAAGAGCGCGTAACAGAAGAGTGAGCGACGTGTTAAACGGTTAAAAAAGCGCTTGTTGAAGGAGTTTTAAATTTATCTTCCTCTATTTTTTATTCTTTTTTTTATTTACTGTTTGTTAACAAGATGATGAAAATAATTAAAGGTCAACCTGAAAGTTTGATCGTCAGGTGAAGCGGAATACTTGTTAACATTTGGTTCACGAGCTGAATCAAACGGATAATTGGCCACTAGATCACCCTCATGAATGTTAGCGGACAGAACAAATGGTAACGACAGTAACCACATTCCGACAGCCCGAGTTTCTGGTTGATGCTTGAAAAACAGCAGTAGCAGGCCCAATGAAAAATTTGATAAAATTGCTATTTTTTATAAAAAACTGGGTATATTCAGCAACATGAGGATGACGTCACTCAAGGTTGAATTTGGTAACTTATTATTTTATAACTTTTTCAAAGTGATTCTTAAAATATTTATTTTGGCTGCAGCTGTTGCTAAGAGCGGAAGATTTATCATGATTTCATGACGTTCCTGCTTGTTATTGTTCTACTTTTTTGTCCATATTTCAGGTTTTTATCAATCTCGCAAATCCACGCAAAACGATACACCACTGATTTTGTTATTGCTCCTCATTGACAATAACGCTTAGCGTTTACTAGATGGATGATTTTGGAGGGTGAAAAAATAAGCCAGTTGAAAGTGGGGCGGAACATGTTTGTCGGTGGGAACTGTAGCTTATTTATTTTTTATATGGCAACATTGAGGAAATTGAAAAGTTTTAGAATAAACTAAAATTCCGGAGATAATTCATTCTGAAAAACATTATTTCTTGGTGCATAAATTATGGTTCTCAAACAGGTTAAGAGAACCAAAAGGAAAGGGAAATAAAGTTCAAAAACCTTGTTAGTATTTCTTGAAAGGTCCAGGAGATGATCATAACGTGGCACACCAGTATCAGTAAGTTCATAAAACAGCGAATCTAAATCTGGAAAATCGCGATTCAGGTCAACAGCATTTGCATTTGTTCTACCTTTCATCCAACTTCGTTCCATTGGGTCCTGGATATTTTTTTTAAATTAAGATAACAGAGATCGGAAGAGATAACCAAATTGTACCAATATTCGAAGGAAAATTAGTTCTTTTTTTTTAGAGTCACTAAAAAAGAAAAGCTTTTTACATATAGTTTTCAAAACGTGATTGTTCGAGGAACATAAATAAATTTTTTGGGGTTAACAAATTTTGATGTCATGCTTCAATACATATGTCTGGAAATTATGTTTTTGATGCTGGAGTACAAACCGTGTTCAGCGCTGCTTCGAAGCCGTCTGGATTCATTGTTGGCAAGATGTGAATTGATGTTGAATTAATTAATTTCTGAATTTCTTTATCACCACTACGAATACCATCACATAAATAGGCAGCTAACCGAATCAGAAGCTCCCTGCCAACTGGTTCATTACCGTGCATGTTGCCGACATATTTCATTTCAGGTTTAACTGTAATAACATTCAAAATAGTTGTTATTTAAATTGAAAGTTAGGAAGGAAAAAGTGTCTTGCTTGTTATTAACTGTTACAGTAATAACTTTTTAGCTGCTAAACAGGAAGCTTCTTGTTATAATTGATCAAAAATTTTTGGTACTTTTTTTGTTTTTTTTTTCTTTGGAAACGTAATGAAATGGAGAAGTGAAAAGAAGGACAAAGTGTAAATATCAAAGACTTTTGTTTATTAACCTCAAAGCTACTGAATGGTTAGCAAAAATTCAGTAATCGGAACCTGTAGTGTTTCGGAAGTGCAAGGTAATTTGTGCTTTTTTCTCTGTTTTTGATTTTCACTTGACATTAAAAATTTTTAGTACTTCAATGGCACTGTCGACGTTTTTTGCTTTCTTTTTTTTTTTTTTTTT